AAGGGAGTTTGAAGATATTACAAAAACGACAACGCTTCGGAAGCCAACAGATGAATTGATCGTCGTTCATCACATCGAAACAACAGGAACTCCAGTTGCTGATCGTCCACGCCGTCTTTCAGGTGATAAATTAAAAGCAGCTAAAGCCGAAATGGATTATCTAGTCGAACAAGGTATTTGTCGTCCGTCAAAGAGTGCTTGGGCTAGTCCTATACATATGGTCGCGAAGAAAACTGGTGGTTGGCGCGTCTGTGGTGACTACTGTAAACTCAACTCAGAAACAGTTCCAGACCGTTACCCCGTGGCACACTTACACGATTTTTCTGAAAACCTGCATGGTAAGTCAATTTTTACTACCCTTGACGTTGCCAGAGCCTACTATCAAATATCAATGGCTGAAGAAGACATTGCAAAAACAGCAGTATGTACACTATTCGGACTGTTGGAATTTTTGTACATGCCTTTTGGTTTAAGGAACGCGACACAGACCTTCCAACGTTTCATGGACAACGTGTTCAGAGGGATTGACTTCGTTTATTGTTACATGATGACATCATCATAATGTCCGAATCTCTACAACAACATCGAGAACATCTTCGTACAGTCATCGAAATTTTACGCCGATATGGACTCACCATTAATCCGAACAAATGTCATTTTGGTGTACCTGAGGTAAGATTTCTTGGCTACGTACTTAACGCAATTGGTTGTTCTCCGCCTACAGATCGTATTGTGGCTATCAAAAATTATAAGAAGCCAGAAACCGTCTGCGAACTTCGTCGTTTTATTGGTGTTATAAACTACTACAGACGCTGCATACCCCACGCAGCACATCAACAAGCACCCTTAAACGAACTCGTTGGAAACTCCAAGAAAAACGACAAACGCAAAGTACCGTGGACACCGGAATTAGAAACCGCTTTTTAGACCTGCAAACAAAGCCTTTGTGAAGCCACAATGCTTGCACATCCGGCATCAGACCTAGAACTAGCATTAGTAACGGATGCATCAGACACTGCCGTCGGTGCCGTCTCAGAACAAAACTTCAACGGTACATGGAGACCTCTAGGATTTTACCTGAGTAAGTTATTAAAATCCGAAAAAGAGTACAGCACATACGATCGTGAATTGCTCGCCATTTACAAAGCTGTGAAATATTTTCGACACATGCTGGAAGTACGACATTTCGTCATCAAAACCGATCATAAACCGCTCATATACGCATTCTCTCAACGACTTGAAAAAGCATCGCCCCGACAACTCCGAAATTTAGATTTTATTTCTCATTTTAGTACAGATTTAGTATATCTTTCTGGACCTAGCAATACCGTTGCAGATGCATTTTCAAGACTCAACGAAATCTCAATGCCTTCAAGCGTCTCACACGAAGACATTCAAAACTATCATTGAAGGTAAAAATTCTTTGAAGCTGCAAATAATTCACTTCGGAAATACATCAATATATTGTGACATCTCAACGGGACATGTCCGTCCATACATTACAGAAGCATTGCGCAAAGAAATTTTCAACGCTACACACGGACTTTCACACCCTAGCGGTCGTTCAACACTACAGCAAATTCGAACAAGGTACATCTGGCCCGGAATTAAAAAAGACATAATCAATTATTGTCGTCGATGTTTTCATTTTCAAGAAGCGAAGATTACCAGACATAATCGTTTAACTCCGAACAAAATCGATGTTCCAGACAATCGATTTGATCATGTGCATTTAGACATCGTTGTTATGCCACAAGTACAGGATTTCAGATACTGTCTCACCATGATTGATCGATTCTCCAGATAGCCTGAAGCTGTTCCACTCAAAAACATGTCCGCTCAAACTGTTGCTAGTGCATTTTGGTCAACATGGGTTTCATAGATACATGTTCACATGTATTTCTACGAACCGATGCTGTACGAGAACCATTACAACCTCCTTACACTGGACTTTATCAAGTGATCAAGAGAATTACAGATCGATTATTCACAATTCGAATCAAGGACAAAGACGTCAACGTTGCAATCGACCGTCTCAAACCAGTTTTCGACTTCAACGATTCCAATCCAAAAATCACATCAAATCATAACCAGACTGCGACTTCAACTCAAAACACATCATTAAAGGAATTTCAACATTCGCCGCTATCTCCTTCTGAAATTTCAACCACACCTACTCTATCAACGAGGAAGATATCTTTCCAGGATGATCGTGACTGTGTCACTGGAGGGGGAGTGGTTGTGGCATATCCGTTACCGCCGTTAAAAAACAAGACGAAAGATGGTAACACTGACAAGAGGCAACAAAGAAGAAACCAAAAGTTAGCTGCTCGCGAAATCTTCACCACCACAGTTGTGGCAAATCGACCTTGTTGAAATTGAATTACTTTTATTGTCTTTGTTGAACTAATATTAAATAAAATAGTTATTAGAGAGTTGTTCCCTAATAACTATATGTTTGTGTTATAGGCAAACACAGAGTGTGGAAAGAGATAACTAGATAGCAAATCCATTTCTTATATCTGGTATAAATTATAACAATTTTGTCTAGTTTTGACCGCCGACTAAGTTGGAAGAGGAACACCGAGGAACGAGCTAAGAGAGGCTTAATTGCACTCTATTCCTGCAAGAATTCTATAGGCAAGAGCTGGGGCCTCAAACCGCACATCATCAAATGGATGTATGAGTCAATCGTCCGCCCCATTCTAACCTATGGATCTCTAGTATGGTGGCATTCTTTGAAGAAGTTAACTTATCTACGACATATTAACAAAGTTCAACGGGTCGCATCCTTACTAATAACGGGTGCCTTCAGGAGCACGCCTCAAACAGCACTGGATACTCTACTGGGCCTAGGCCCACTGAATGTATGTGGAGGAACAGGCATCCAGGAGTGCTCTTCGACTCAGAGAACTAGGTGAATGACGCAGTCAACCCTTTGGACATTCTGCGATTCTAAGGCGTGTAAGGAATGTGGGAGAGACAGACTTTGTAAGTGACTATATTTACCACGACTAAGCTTCTACCCACCTGACATACACATACCTGACAGAGACGCCTGGGCTCAAAACAACCCACCTTTCCGCGGCATAGCTGTTTATACCGACGGTTCAAAGATGGAGTGTGGTACGGGAGCTGGTGTCTTCTGTGATACTCTTAACGTTCGTGAATCCTACAAGCTTGGAAACAACTGTAGCGTATTTCAGGCGGAAATCATTGCGGTCAAAATGGCCATTGACCTGTTGGTCACGAGGAGCATTGAAGTCAGTAGTCCGGTGACTATATATGTCCATAGTCAAGCGGCACTGAAGGCCTTGAGTTCCTTTACAATGAAGTCTAGGGCTGTTTTGAACTGCAGGGAAGCCTTGGAAAACACTAGGTTGTCCATCAAGCTTTGTTGGGTTCCTGGACATTTTAACATCCCAGGTAACGAGACTGCAGACGAACTGGCCAGATTAGGGTCCGAATCAACTACAGTTGAAGTAGACAACTCGGTTAAACCACCACTGTGCCATTTCCTGCAGGTTATTCACAAACACTACTCTGAGAAAATCCAAAAAAAATGGCTAGATGAAATTGGTTGTACCATCCCCAAACGAATCTGGCCCATACTCTCGGAGAAGAGAACAAGGTCGCTGATGTCATTGTCAAAACCTGATCTAAAACTTGTGGTGGGCATCATCACAGGTCACTGTAAGGTGAGGGCTATGACATCGAAATGGGACAGCGACGGCATTGACTACTGTAGGATCTGTCAAGATGAAGAAGAAATCGAGACAATCGAACACTTACTCTGACACTGCCCAGCACTCATTAATGTGAGGCACAGGCTAGTGGGAGAACTAGTGTCACACGACTTGTCGTCTTTTTCTAACACTGACCCTGTAGTAATACTTCAACTAGCCAGAAGACTCAAGTGGCTAAAGACGACACGGCAAACTCCTCAGCCGTAGATTACACTCTACTACACTACCATTTATCTTCATCTTCTCTATCAATCACTTTTTCTTCTATCTCTCAAAACTCTTTTCTAGGATGAACACAATGGACCTATAGGTCTCCGAGTGGAGCGGTTGCCATATGGCAATCGCGCGTCCTTTAACCTAACCTAACCTAGTGGGGAATGTATTTTATTGATGCGTTACGTATGTGTAACATAAATGTAAATATCAAAATAAGTAAGGTAGTAAATTTTTTTATTGCAATCAAAAAATCCTCACAAATTCCGCAATTTTTTAAAAAGATTCCCACTAAATCCTTAAGTCCCCAACATGAATTTTGGGTCCCCAATTTGAAAAAAAAAATATCCCCTTTTTGGGAAAAATTCCTCAATACTGGCAACACTGGTTACACTTTCTATGTTTCAGTACCTGGTAAGTAACTGGTAGTTGCTGCATTTTTTCCACAATGCCGTCTTAATTTTAGTTTAAAAATAATAAACAAAACGAATTTATAATTAATTTCATGAAATAAATTTATATTTCGGTTCTTCAATATAAAATTGCGTTATCAATTTTTTTATTTAAATGCATTTTGCTGCTATTGTCATATTTTCAATACGTTAAAACGTAAAGGGAAGATGGTCTGACCTTTTGCTTATCGGACAATTCATACTTAACTGAAACTTGTAACAACGAAAAACGATTTATGTGTCCGACAACATCACTTTTTAACTATCGGAAAGATGTAATAACCGGCCCTACTGTTTATTTATTGTGTTTGATTCAAAGTGTAAATAAATTTTGACTTTACATCTTATTTTTTAAATTTACAGGAACACCTTGTTATTGCGCCATGATAGTGGCTGTATCAATTAGCAGAATCGTGACCGAAGTATAAGGTTGCCCTTACAAGCTATCTGAATACCAAATGCAGTGTCAAAATGCATTATTGTGATTGAAATCACAGAACAAAAGATAAACAGTGGCCAAAAAAGTGTAAACAAATTTTGACATTTCATCTCGTTTTTAAATTTTGCAGAACACCTTGTTATTGTGCCATGAGCGGAATATTTGTTTTTGTACTCGACGACCGAGAACTTGATAATCTATACTTGAATCACTCAACAGAACTAACAATGAGTCATTGTCATTATATACATACATAACACTCGTAGTTTTAAAATTACTTTTCGCATTGCTATAAAAAATGAAGAGTCAGTCGGGTTGTAAAGAAATTACATCGAATGTGTTAATTAAATCCGAACCTACTAATGTTGCAAAAGATGACAAAATTATATTCTCATCACCAAATCCAACGAATGGAAATACAAACAAAAGGCCAGCATCCCTAGACTTAAAGAGTTCAAGTAAAAAACGGATTATTACACCTACTCCATTAGTAATCGAGACGCCTTCCGATAACCAGCAAAAACAACAGAATTTAGCTACTCCAGATCTTGACAAATTACTTCATTTTCTACCCACTCCTCAACCAGGGTCAATTTTCCAAACAAAAGCTGGGGCAGTTACCTCTGAGCAAGAAGCTTTTGGAAAAGGGTTTGAGGAGGCTTTGCACAGTCTTCACAGCAACAATAAACAAAATTCCACATCTTTAAATTCAACAAATAACATTGGTACGGGAATGAGCGGTGGATCCTTTACATACACAGAGCTGGGTAGTAAAAAATTGTTAAATTTTGATTTTTTTTTATAAATATTTTCCAACTTACAGATTCATTTAACACGATTCCAATCAAAGATGAGCCTCAAAACGCTCCATCTTCCCCTCCTGTAAGTCCAATAGATATGGAGACGCAAGAGAAAATTAAATTGGAGCGAAAACGTCAACGAAATAGAGTAGCAGCCTCTAAATGCCGGAAGCGAAAGCTCGAACGGATTTCAAAACTTGAAGATAAAGTTAAAACGTTGAAAGGGGAGAACTCAGATTTGGCGTCTATAGTTAAAAGTTTGAAAGAACACGTCGCCCAATTAAAGCAGCAGGTTATCGAACATATTGAGTCTGGTTGTAGCATTCAAACAATGTGTACAAATGGAAATCTTTTACTTCATAATAAATAAGTAATGGAGACCTCATCGAGTCTATTAAAATACTATATTGGCACACACTACTATTCTTTGGTTCCCATAAAAACTTACCGGGAGAACTTAATATTACGCATTTCAAAAACGTGTAGATCTGATGGTCTTTTACTGTTATATATTAAAAATCTGTTGTTGATGCAACGTAATAAGTTTCGTATAAGCATTTAAGAAACTGTAAAAGTATAGCTTTTCACGGAATCAAAAAGGTGTTTTCAAATTTTGTGGTATTCGTAAAAATGCAGTTTACATCATGGTACAATAACTTCCTTGGTAGGGCAGAACAATCACATACACAATTTTTGTATGCATATGTGTTGCTTTAAATAATAAAATAACTTTCAAACTCTATTGAATTTTCATGTTCACAGTTTTTTTTTTTTTTTTATTTTGATATGAAAAAGATTTGTGATCGTATTTGGGACTCGATTTTGTGATATATCGGCGGAAATTCATTAATTTTTCACGATTGTCTCTATTTTCCTTTTTATTAGTAAATTTGAAGTTAAAAATTCCAAATTTAATTAAGCTGCCCATGGTACAATGAGGTCAAGGTAGGGCATTGAAATCAATCGATTTTATTTATTTTGTTTTCTTTATTTGACTGGCCCTGCAAGCATTTGGAAGTGAGTCACTCACTCATTTTTTAAGATGCCACTTCTGCAACGCTTCTAATCCCAATAAATGTGATAGTATGTACATTTACAATAACAAAACTACAGTTGCATACTTTCTATCGTCACGGAGTTACTACGTAGTGGCGCAAAGAAAGATAAAATAAGATGCTACGTGTGCAGACACAGTTTCGTGACTTCCATCCCATAAAACTGCGATAGTATACAGTTAGTTTCTAATTGAACATAAGTAAGACTTTATTCTATCTGAGGAATATAAAACACTGTGGCGCAGTGGTATGCATGTCCGCTTTGCTCTCTGACCACCCGGGATCGATTCCCGAGGCAGACATCACATTTTTCAGACGAAAAAAAAAAAAAATAAATGTTTGAGTTTTTTATCATACAAGTAAAAGTTCTATGAAAATGTGCATTGGAAACAGTACCAATAACAATAAAAAATAATTGCTAAAAAATATATTTTTTTTCACTGTCGAGGAAGTGACTTCCACGATTATTAGGAGTAATGTTATATGCGCTATTTAGTCATGCTTAAAACTATCCCGGGCGTGGTTCATTTAAGGATGCTCCTTCCGTGGTGAGAAAGCGATATCGAGGCGGGACTTCTAAGTTATTAAGTATTCGAATCAAAATGCATTTTACATGTATGTGTGGACAAAAATTACACTTTCTGTAGCGAAATATAGAACATAATTTTCAAAAGAAATGTGGACCTTTAATTCACTTTTCGCGTTTTTTGTTTATATATTCAAAATCAATGCAACATGTTATTTTGTATATTTGATAATAAAGAACTTGTTGCATTTGTTTTGATAGTAATTTTGACATTACAATCCAGGTAGGCTTCTTTACTTGCAGAATTGTCCAACTTAGCCTACTTTACCTTCATTCTACCCATTTATAATGCTGGAGCTGTCGGAAATATTCAGTTTTGTAACTAGCACAGAACTTTTGATGGACTGATTTCGGTCGTTGCCACCTATCGCTTATTAAAAACCGACTGTCTTTAAGGAGTGAAGACAGTCCATATTAGAAGTGACGATTAAAAAGAGGCAAAGCGTTAAACCGGCGATGACCGTTGACTCATTGGTAATATGAGATATCGGACGTGTATTCAAAAGTCTTAAATTCTGGTAAGAAGTGTTGAAAATTCGTCGCACGTGAACTTAAATGAGCCGTCTAACTTTATGAATATGATAAAAGAACCAATGACGGAATAAAGTGGCAACAATGATTTTTCACGGAATAATTTGAAGTGATAGCGGAACGAGAAGGTTAAATGTGTCCCTACAAACGTTGTTACATTATTATTATTAGAAAATAATCTCTGAAATGCTGCCAAAAAGGTGGAAACAGGCGAAATCGAGCACAGTGCTAGAGAAATAAAGAGTAAACTCTGTGAATTCAAGAGGAATAATTGTTAATAGAAGACACAAAGCTGGCATTTACGAATAGATGATATGAGTTTCTTGACTTTGGGAACCCTCTACTGGTTTTTTATTAGCTGCACAACTAATAGATTGCCATTTGAAGTTGTATGTAAATTAGGCTGGATTCATTTCGTCCTACTAAGTAGATATGGAAGAATCTAAGTGTCCACACGAACGCATTAAACTTTCAGACTCTATGAATGGATTTTGAATTAAACTTCGTGAAACGTGCTATTTGTACTCATAAGGAATATGGAATTTCCAGTATTATTTAATAAGTCGGGCATATTCGTAACCATTTTCAGTTTATAGTAAGGGAAATATGGTATCCATGAAAACTGTGTCAAAAGCACCTGAAGGTGTTTTAGTAATAGCCATTGACATCTTTAATTGACTAGTGGTTTTTTCGTACTTGACAAATCTTATACCTCTTGTCATTTGGGGCTGTGGGATTTGAACCGCGGACCTTGGTGTGCAGCCAACTAGAAGTTGCCGTCTCTACGTTCAGAGCCACCCGTCTTCCTAAAGCAGCACTAAAACAAGTGTATGCATTGTAAGCAATGTAGTTGTTGTGGACAAAAAATCCATCACTACAAAAACAAAACTTTGCTGTGAAAAAGATCTGCCAATAGAACTTGGGTCGAACCTGGAGAGTTTCTAGTGTATAATTCGCATATGCTAATTTGCAATAAGTTCGAATATATATATACTACTTTCCAGAGAACGGCCCTTGTAAGCCATCATCCCAAACCAAATATGCCTGATGAGCCGCTTAACCAACGGCGAAACGCGTCGCATAGTGGTGAGTGTGTGATAGTGTCTATCTGGCTTTCCTTTTCACTGCAAATTTTAGATCATTAAGCTCGTCTCGAAAGAGAAAAACAAACACATAAATCATAAAAATTTTGATAGCCGGCGTTAAGTACGGACGCGTTTTATTTTTCGTTGCTAATGAAAGGTGTTTTTTTTCACAAGCAAAGCAAAATAAATAATATAAAGGCAAACAGTACGCTAATAAAAAATCTCAGGAAATATAATCTAAAAAAAAAAACCTGCTAAAAAAATCCTTTTTATTAAGAATTTTTGCAAAATAGTTTTTTTTTTCTACTTTATCCTCCTTTTCCCAAAGCACATAAATCGGTTTGTTATAGTGTTAACAACAACAAGTGTATGTCACTCTCTCATACGGAAGAGAGAAATGTAAGTGAGAACGGGCAAAACGTATACCTTAAGTTGACGTCGACAGATTTCAGCTCAACCGCGCCAAAACGCCACGAAAGCTGGTATCTTACAGCTAAACCCCAAAGCCGTTCTAAATCGGCATCGCCGAGAGTTTTTCATGACAAAAACTTGCCAGGTGAGACTACTCCCAACGAAACAACAGAAATGTCATATAAACAAAACAATGTAAACACGCCCAAAATAAATTCTATAAAGGTGCTATCACACGATGCGATTGTACATCAAGAAACTATCGCTTCAAGTAAGCATGCGTCTCTTGAAAAAAACAAGAAGCAAAACATAGTTCCTCCAGGCATGGACCGATATGTCTTAGTAACAAAGCGTAAGGCTAGTTCTAGAACTCCAACCAAGGAACCAAAAGCTAAAACCCAAAAGTCTATAAACAATGACCGCAACAACAGATTCTCAATTCTCGGCTCGAATAACGAGACTGATGAAATGATACAACCGGTTAGATCCCAAAAACCTCCCCCACTATATCTTCGCGAAGAAACTACAAACAATCTTGTGAACAAACTCTCCCAAATATTGGGTAAACCTAATTTTCACGTGGTATCTCTTAAGAGAGGAAATCTCCAAGAGACGAAAATACAAACTTATACTGAGTCGCATTATAAGGACCTAGTTCGTGCTCTGGATTCTGAGAAGAAGAACTATTACACCTATCAGGTTAAGAGCTCAAAAGGACTAGTCGTCGTCATTAAAGGCCTTCATAGTTCTACACCCATAGAGGACATAAAAGATGCTCTCGCAGCAGAAGGATTCGAAACAAAGTCTATCATCAACATTTTCAATAAAGATAAAATTCCGCAACCTATGTTTAAAGTAGAACTAACATACGAATCTTCGCAACTAAAGAAAAAGGGACAATTTCATCCAATTTATAGCCTTAGGCTTCTTTGTAATCGCGGTGTGAAAATTGAAGAACCTCAAAAAAGAAAAGGCCAACCTCAATGTACAAACTGCCAAGAGTATGGGCATACCAAAACGTATTGTAAATTGCTATCGGTTTGTGTTACTTGTGGTGACCTCCACAAATCATCGGAATGTCCACATCCCAAAACTGACCCAAGCGTCAAAAAGTGCAGCAATTGCGGTGGAAATCATACTGCAAACTACAGAGGATGTCCTGTATATATCCACTTAACAAAATCTAGCTTAGCCACAAAAAAGCCTACAAGCTACCGGGTACGGGAAAATCCACAATTCAATATCAAAACAGCTGAGTTCCCTGAGCTAAACAAGAGGAATGAAACCACCGCTCCTAATTACAATCTCCCCTCACAGAATATGCAATACTTATATTCTGATACTTTGAGAAATGACTCACCCAACTATAAAAATTCAAATATAGAATCATCTATTGAAAAACTAATCGTCACCACGAATTCTTTTATGACAAGTATGCAAAGCATGATGCAAGATATTGTGAGAAATCAATCTATGATTATGCAAATAGTTTTAAAACAAAAATAGATAAAATTCGAATCTGTTTTTGGAACGCAAACGGCTTAAGCCAACATAAACACGAGGTCGAAAACTTTATTCACTCACTCAACATACACATTTTACTGGTATCTGAAACTCATTTCACTTCTAGAAACTGTTTTAGAATAAACGGTTACAGTACATACGACACTAAACACCCTAGTGGGAGAGCTTGCGGTGGCACCGCGGTGATAATTTCTAATAAAATTCAGCATTACCCCATGCCAGAATATAAGTTTGACCACCTACAAGCTACAACAGTTGCACTATCTTCTACGAATACAGCTATATCTGCAATATATTGTCCTCCGAGACATAGTATAAGCAAAGATGAATTCGCACACTTTTTCTCATCTCTTGGTAGTAGATTCATTGCAGCTGGAGATTATAATGCCAAACACACCTTCTGGGGATTTAAACTCCATTTCGTCCGCTAAACTGGACGCGTTATCTACTGGCCAGCCTACTTACTGGCCTTCAGACCTGCAAAAACGTCCTGACTTAATTGACTTTGCGGTAACAAAGAATATTAAGAGGGAACAAATGTCCGTGATACCCTCA